TATATTTAATTATAGTATAGTTATAAAATTTTATTTGAACATTTGAAAATAAATATAAAAATCAAAACTGATCAAAAAAAACAATTTGATAATCTTGAGTCTAAAATCAAATAGACATTTTTGGCCAATCACAGGCTTTTATTTTGATATTAAATTACAAATTTCAAATTCCAGATTATGTGATATATGAAAATCTGAGGTTACACTAATTAAAAAAAGCAATAATTTCTTTTCATGTATAGCTGATCATTTGGAATATGCATATATATACTGGTAAGCATATGTTTTGCACATGTTATGTATACTAATTTATTATATTACGTATCGGCATTATATTTAATGTTTAAAAATGTGGTAACAAATGTTCTGTAGTAGTAGGAGTGTAATACATTTAATTAAGATCGAATATGTTTAATTGCGTAATACTGTAACTGTTTGGGTTTACTAATTTTCTTCACCAGTTCCTATTGGATGCATAGAAATCCTGCTTTTGATTAGATGAAATATTATTGAGTCAGACTTTGAAATTTGAAATTTTCGATAAAAGTATCTATGTTATACTAATAAAATATATAGTTAGAGAAATATCAAGGTTTAACAAAACATATGTTATTTTAAAATTTTGCAAGGAATTTTTTTTTGTTAGAACACAAAAGGTGGTCTCATAAATAAAATTTTGAGTTATTGAGAATTTTGAAAAACTTCAATTCTTTTTCTTGCAATGTTATGTTACGCTAGATATTGTAGTCTGCTTTGCCAAATTAGAGATTCTTAACTGTTCAATAAAATTTTTAGTATGTAATTTAACATATATTGTATAATGATTTTTTAGTTTAATTTAGCATAAAAAGTATATTTTTATTTAGTATATAGAGATAATAGAATAAAATTCATAATTTGATAATTTTGACAAATAAAGATATAAGAAATATTTTGATATATCAGATATAATTAGAAATAATAATAATAAGACAATTTTGTACTGATTTAATATTATTTGATTTACTCCATGTCAGAACTTTGAATATTAGCTGAATTAACATTATGCAGTTTTTAGTATTGTGTGTAGTTCGAGTCTTAGTTTCTTTACCTTTCTTGCGATTACGTGTAGAATTTTTTTGAGTTGCATCATTAAATTTTATTGATTTTTCATCCTGGTTTACATTCGATTTTGATTGATTTTCAAAATCAACATTAACGTGTTTGTCTTTTCTTGTTTGTAATGAACTCATATACAGATCATCTATTTCTTCAGATCTCTTACGTTTTACTGAATATGCATTATCATTTGGTTGGTTATCTTGGTGTGTGTTTTTGATATTATGTGTATTTTTGGTATTATGTGTATCTTCAATACTATTCGAGACAGATGGTGTAATATTATTATTTGGCTGGTTATTTTGATGGGCACTTTTGACATTACTTGAAGTGGATGGTGTAGAATGAGGAATATTTTCAGAACTTTTCGTCATACTTTGATAAAGGTGTAAAAGCCTAGATCATGTTGGGTTAGTCGATGATGATATTTCATTATTACCTGTATTAAGATCTTTTTTTTTGTAATAAAATTAGTATCAATATAACTAATATCTTTAGCATAAACATAAAATTTATTTTCAATGATTTTCGTTTGTCCAACTACAAAAATAATTAATTTTTGTGGTCAAATAGTAGTTTTAAGATGGCTCAATCATGGAATTGTGTGTGAAAAAACTACTTTAGTTATATAGCTGATATGTTGACCACTATAATCAGATATAAGTGTTTTGATAATAGAATCTTCAGTATTTTTAATTTAGTTGGTACTCCTTGTGGAACTCCTACTAAAGAGACATTTAAAGGGCACTTATTCGAGTCCAAAACTCAATCGACAGTTGTTAAGTGATTTGAAGCGGAGGCTATCATCTAAATATTAAAAATTATTGTTAGGTTCATTTTCAGACTTTATATAAAACATTTACTGTAAATACTTTCGGTCTTATATTTCCAGAATAATTTCCAGGCATAATCTTTCCACTAACTGAATAATATTCGTCTCTTTTAAAGATCGATTGGGATTCAGAATCTCGTTTATTAGAATTAGCTGGTATAAATAAAATTATTTCAATCTCATACATCCTGTAAGGTATGTTTCGATAGCCCATACTAAAAAAATTTTGGCATCCTCTTTTTTATTTTACTGTGCACATTTAACTTTTATAATCGTGTTTGCATAACAGGGCATTATAGTTTAAATTATGATTTTAAAATTTTTAAATTGATTTCAACAATCAATAATTCGACTTTGTTCAGAAAAACAAAGTTTAAACAATTATATATACAATACATATATATATATATATAGAAACAAATTTATTACTGTAGCAAAATGCGCTTAGATTATATATTAATATAACATGATATAATACATAATACATTATATAATAATTTATATAATAATTTAGCCACAATATAATATAATTAACTAAAAATAGAGTAGCATGATTTTAACAAATGATATGATATATGATATAAAACCAAGACAAAACTTGTAAGTACATATATTTAGAAACACGTATAATGATGTATGACAACAATTAACTTATAATAATTTAGTCACAAATATTATATAATAAGAGTAGAAAGGCATAATTTTAACAAATGATATAAGGTATAGAGCTAAGACAAAACTTGTAAGTACATATATTCAGAAACACATATAATGATGCATGACAACAATTAATATATTAAAAGAAGACTTAACTCATTCGACTTGTTTAGAAATTTCAAGTTTGGATCAGATTGACAATTGAAACTCGATTTAATTTTTTCTATTATAAATTCGTGTTGCGGCTGAAGCTGGAAATTTTAAATATTTTATTATGAAATTTTCAAAATTTTTTGGGGTGCATTTTTATAGCTTTTTTTTCATGGTTAGATTAGGATTTAGGGTTAGTTTTTATAATGAAAGAGTATAAGTGGATTTTGGCAGGG